GCGTAGTTATACTTTTTAATAGGTCCACTCCCGACGGAACCTTTGCCATGTATATGATAAATTGGACTACCGCAGCAGCAGCTCTGGTTGGCATCACTCCCGTTGTAAAATCCGAATTTTAAACGTCACCTCCGGGTTTAGTACTAATAATGTGATGCTTCTACTTATTTTAATATTCTACATCGTTTATACTCAAAAGAAGGTACTTCTTTCAGGTACTCGGTGTAAGAAAAGGTAAATCCGTCTCGACCATTGGCACGGGGAACAGCAGCTTCGAACAGTAACAACGCCCCCCTGAGAACTATTATCTACGCTCGTTTTTTCAGCGCATGAGACTTTCTTACCCGTCTTTACTATTGGTCTTCTGCGTGTGTGTAACTACTCACACCCGCCTATGAATGCACAAGCATACACACAATTGACTTTGACCCGCCTAAAATTGAATATATATTGGCCAGACCTATTCACAGACGTATTAGCACTTGTGTTCTCCTCTTTCCTCCCCACTCCCCCCATTTTCCATGTTTATTTTTGTCCAAAAACGGTTACCAGCCTCTTGTCTACAGTTATGCCTTTTTCACTCATTCTGAGTTCCTCTTTAACGCTCATTCTGTCTACCGGTCTGAAAATAACTTTATGAAAGGGCCCTTCGTTTCTATCTCCTGCGATATATCTATAAATATTCAGCTCATATCCCCTCTTCGCCGTTATTTCTTCGGGCCCGTCCAGTAGATAATATAAATAGTAATAAGCCAGACATAAGAAGTTGTTGTTACTAATAGTGATTCATCATTCTTCCCTCTGGGTTGGTAGTATTACGGACAAAGACAAGGAAGACTGAAATGATCATTTCTTGCTTATTAGCCGTCGTCAGCCAGTCATACCCAGCCCCAAGTTGGTGCACCAACCGAGGCTTTAACTCGTGACCTTCTCAATCAGAATCAACGCCCTAACTATTGAGCCACGACCTCGTTGTCTTCTGGTTTAAGTCGGGACATGTCGACACCCTTTGATGAGCGTTCACTGACCGCTAGTGGAACTCACTTTTCCCGCTCCGCCTTTGGTTCGGGCCCCACCTCTCGGACGCGGGCAGCAGCCAGTATTATGGGCAGACAACATGTAATTGTGGCCCCCGAGAGGACCTACTACAGGCGGCTTTGAACTGAAGTCCAGAGAAATTCGGATTTAAAGTACGATTAGAGTTGATATTAGGGTTACGGTCGCAGTTTGTGGTAGGGATTGAATACGGGAATATTTAGCCTTCCAATTGATCGCAGGATCATCTGTATTACACGAGGAGACATATACGATCGCGTCCTTCCCCCAGTCAAGATGATCCATTATCTTGATAAGCAGTTACTATTGACGCGCATATACACTAAGTGCACCACGTACGTACGTGGTG